AAATTCAAAATTATTCATGATTAAACATCAACAAAGAAATCGTTTACCGCATATAGGGCTCTTTCCAGTAAGTATGATTTCAGAGCTTTGCGAAATGCGGGAAAGAATGAAAGTGACTTTATATTCAAAGGCAAATGATTGTACATTTTCTTGGCATTGTACAGGGTGAGTCAACGATAGAGTAAAGTCCATTATCTCATTTGTTTCGAGGTTTACAAAAAAATTTTAAATATAAAAGTTATAGGGACGGTTAGGATACACATTTTAAAATTATTATAGAGTACACATGGTGCTTCAAAAAAGTGTGACGAATATAACATATGTTTTATTAAATGGAATACCCTATTTTTTATTTTATTTTTAGATTCTGCGTAAAATTCCATAACTTTTTTGTATATAATATTATATACCTAAAATTAATAGTTTCTGTAATATTTAAATTTGTTTAAACAAATGTCAGTAATGGCATTGTTTCTGAAGTTGGAGAACCAAAATTTGGTAGGAGAATTTAATAGAGATATAGAAAAAGACTTATGTAAGGATATTTTAGTTAGATGCTACAGGGTGTTCAAAATATATTTATGAATTTCAACTAATTAAAATTAAAAAATTTCAAATTTTTTAAATGGTACACCCTATATATTATCATTTTTTCTGATAGATTTTACAAAACTCTTCAACTTTTGTTAAGTATGTCATATACCTATTTTTAATAGTTTGCGATTTATTCCAATTTTTTTCTATTTTTACCCATATTTTTAATACAATTACGCTATAACATCATAGTTACCATGACAAAAAGTAATAATTATCAAAATGTCTTGTCTGTTAAGCAAGTTAAGAACAAAATTTGAATTTTAGTTTAATATGTTGTAATAAGTATAAATTGTAGAGATAATAGTTACAGATTTTCTTGAAATGAATTAGTCAATGTGACTGATATACACGAACAAGCCAAGAAAAACATATTTTTTGGTTCAGTACTATATTAGATTATATAGTGCTGTGCTAAGTAGTATAAGAATAGATGTAAATTATCTAGAAAATATCTTCAGTGTGTAATGGGACGGTTTCACGGCAGTAGTAATATTGGCTTTACTGTATATCGAAAAAAATTCCTATATTATTAGTCTTCAACAATTAGATAATCTAGTATTACCTTAATCCGTGGCTATTCGCCCCGACGCGCGACGGAAAGCAGGGTTGGGAAGTAGTTAATTAAGACGTAATTTACCTGATTAACTACGTGTAGTTTTTCTTCAAAAACTACGTCTTTTCTCGTTCATTAACTACATGAAAACTACGTTAATAAACTATGTATTCATATTATGAATAATTTTCCTTAGTATGAGATGTAATAGAGATAATATGATGTAAATATTATATTTAAAGCCATATTTCTTCTGTTTTCTTAAGTACATTATGTGTTTTTAAAGCTTCAACTTATTAAAACCTCACCTCAAACCTTTGATATTTCAAAGTTACATACATAATAATGTAAAAATACATACTCTACATAAACTACATTAACTACATGTAATGTAGTTTATGTAGTTTTTAAAAGTAACTTGTAGTTTTCCGAGCCCTGACGGAAAGTCCAAGTGCCCTCTTTCATAATATGGAAATACACCAAGAAATTCACGACTGCGATTTTAGTTTATTTAAGTAAAGTTAATTAATCTCAACTAATACTAGCAATTGTAACTAATTATTAAGCTACTTGTTAAAGATAAGTAATAAATAGTTTGTTTTGTCATGGTAACTATGATTTTATAGGGTAATTGTAATAAAAATATGGGTAAAAATAGAAAAAATTGGAATAAATCGCAAACTATTAAAAACAAGTATATGACATACTTAATAAAAGTTGAAGAGTTTTGTAAAATCTATCAGAAAAAATGATAATATATAGGGTGTCCCATGTTGAAATTCATAAATATATTGTTACGGATTCCGTGGGTCCACTATTTAAACTCACGATAAAATACTTAACGAATTTATTTGTTTCACTCTGTACACACAACTTATACTATTTACAACACAACTTATGCAACTACTATTACTCTAACGGTATTTCGCGGTATTTTCAAACTTCAGACTTCTTCAGACTTTAGACTTCAAACTTTAAACTTCAAACTTGTCCAACTGTCAAAGCGCGAGCCTTATATACCCCCTGGCGGTTGTTTCTAGATTTTTCTAAAGAATTCTATAATTTTCTTTACTTTCTGGCGAATGCGCCAGGTTCCTCAAGGCACGTTGCGGTTATGCAACCAGTAATACACCTTGACCTTAACAATATATTGAACACCTTGTATCATTTAACTAAAATATCTTTATATATTTCTTTTTTTTTTTTCATCTCTATAAAACTCTCTTACCAAATTTTGGTACTCCAACTTCAGCAACAATGGCACCACTGACAATTTTTTACCACACTGAAATTTAACATTTGTTTAAACAAATTGAAATATTACAAAAACTATTTATTTTACGTATATAACATTATATATAAAGAAGTTATGGAATTTTACGCAGAATCTAAAAATAAAATAAAAAATAGTGTGTTGCATTTAAAAAAACATATGTTATATCCGCCACACTTTTTAGGAGCACCTTGTATACTCTATAATAATTTTAAAATGTGTATCTTAACCTTCCCTACAACTTTTATATTTAAATTTTTTTTTGTAAACCTCGAAACAAATGAGATAATGGACTTTACTCTATCGTTGACTTACCCTGTACAGTATTGAGCCCTTAACTAGTTCTGAACTCGGGGTTGGCAGATAGATATCGTGCTCCGCATTCCTAAGTGGATAGTTGTGAGAAGGCCTTTCCGGAATAGCAGATAGTTTCGATACTGAATCATTGTCTACTAGTAGTGGGTACTATCGAATGAATACTATCGAAACATTCGATAGTTGCAATTCATTCGAATAATTCGATAGCTAGTAAGAAAACATTCGTTAAAAACTATTCGAATAAAAATTATCGAATAGATGCGTCATCTGCCTTCAAATATTGTATTCTAGTAATTCGGCAGCAAAAACCATTCATTTATAAAATTCATTCATTTATGAAATTCATTTATTCGTCAGGATCGATTATAATAAAATATTAACTGAATTTTAGTTGTCGCCCGGCGATTTCTTTCCGAGAAACCCGACAGCGGTCGGTGGCAATGCTATGAAAGAAGCAGGCATCTTTGCTTTTTTGCGGAGTCATATAAAGATAAGGACACATTATTTTTTTTATTGAGGTGCTAGTATTTACAGGCGCTGTTGCCATATATTGGTATTAGTTGATATTAGGAAAGAATATTATTGTTTGGCCTTTGGTTTGGCTTTAGTTAGTTAGGGATAGTATGTCTATATATTTTGCATTTTTTTTATTAATATTCTGTTGTTACACTGCAATAATACTTGTTATTTTGGATGTAGGAAAATAATTTTTAATGTTTTTAAGCAAAGACTGGTTTAATAAAAAATAATAATAACAGTAATAATTTGTTATACCTATTACAAACAAAATTTAAAATAATTTAATATAATTTTTTTTTACGTAGTAGCAAAATATAAACAACAAATTAGATGTCAAAATTATTTATATTAGATCCTATTTAAAAATAATATAGTCTTTAAGTTTTTTGGCAACGTTGGTTTATTAAATACTAATAATTACAGAACTAATTTGATATATTAAAAACAAACTTTAAAATCATGAAATATAAACATTTATTCATTTTCTAAGCATGCAGTGTAATGGAAGGAAAATATAAATAAAAAATTAGAAATCAAAATTATTTATATTAGGTACTTTATATTACTATTTAAAAATAATATTTACTTTTACTGGCATTTACTTTAAAAAATAAATGAAATATTTCTTCGTAAAAAACTACATGTAAGAGAATTAACATAAACAAAATACAAACATCGTTAACTTTTTTTTTTAATTGGCACGTGTAAAACTTTCAATTTAATTTTTTCATCCCATAGTTTGAGTTCGATAACCATTTACTTAACCACATTACTTAAATATTATTATTAAGTTCAACTAATTCATATTATTAAAACATCTAAAATACAAATATGTATTTTTAAAATTAATTCTAAGTTCATCTCATCTCTCTTAAAAATTGCTACTTCTCAAAATTTCCCATTAAAAAATAGACCATATGCCATATAAAATTAAATAATTGAAAGATCGGACTACGGAAAACCACACAAATTTTCGGAAAAATTTTGATCACCTGCATATGCACACAATCGTCAATAAATAAAATTAAAAAATAACTACTATTTTAGTATTTTAACTATTTTAATAAACGCAAAAATAGCACAGTATTTATACGGCGAAGTTATAAAAATTTGGAAGAACTAATAATGCACTGACGCATACAAAAATCAAACGAATACTAAATTTCATTTATCAAAACTTTTGATTCAAAAGCATTCGATAGTCGTGGCTCAACGATAACCATTTAGTCGCACGGCGAGGTTGTCACATATGCTTTAGTATACAAATGAATGAATGATTTTATTCGAATAAAACCATTCGATAGTTGAAATCATTCATTCATTAAACATTCGATAGTCTAATTCATTCGATAGTTCCCATCGCTATTGTCTACGACATCCAAAGGAATTATTAAAAACATATTATGTAAATTTAATTAACTGGGTTTAACAATAAAACTTTTGTCTCTAACTCACAAGTTTTCTGGGCACACATTGTATATATAACTGTTGACATCATATATTTAAGAACGGTTAATCAGACATCAATATATTATGAACGACCAATAGATTGTTACCTAACAATGAGTTTTCTGTTATTGTCCTTTTTCTTTTCCTAGATATAGCTAGGAAAATGTGAAACTAATAAATTTGGGAAAATAACAATATGCATAGACAAATTTTCTTGTAAATTGAACTGAAATATAATTACAATTCAAAGAATTTAAAAAATATCTGTTGTATTAATTTATACAATTTTAGGTGCGTTCAAGAATTCAACAATTGTTTTCAAGATATTTTATTACTGGACTATAGCGTGATATCATTACAATTGGCTACAATTTTAATTGACTTATACCAGGTACAGATTCAAACGGAAGAATACCATGAAAAAAACTTATTAGAAATAACACATAACTACATATATATATATATATATATTTTAGGGCAAGCAAATGGCATTTAATTCGTTTTTCTTTGTTCTAATTTCTCTGCAACTCTTCCTTATGTCTTGGAACGCTAATGAAATAATAGAAGAGGTAAATATGATAAATAAAATTACGTTCAAGTCGGCTTTGAATGTTTATAGTTCTATACACTAATATTAATTTTGTATAATAAAGCTATATAATTGTTCATATCTTGCTATACAGGGTGGTCCATATTGTATTCGGGAAACTGGGAGAATATTCTGCAGGTAAAAATAAGTAAAAAATAAACAAAATACAAGAAGCAAAATTTGTATTTTGTATTCTGCTTTTATTTTGTTTATTTATATAAACCCTACCAAGCCTTCAGCTCCATCTATGGTAACGTAGATGAAGCAAGTTTGTTATAAGTAAAAAAGCTTGAATAAATATATTTATGTCCTAAAATGCCTAGTTTTGGAGATACAGGGTGTAGAAGTAATGTCGATATTTGGATAAAATTTGGTGTCCTGGACTTTTCTGACCTGAGAAATTTGATTTTGATGTCAATATTACTCCTACTTGTAGAGAGCGCCACCTATATATTTTTGAACTGGTTTCAAGAGTAATAACTTTTTATCCGTACCTGTATAAAACTACTGAGTAAAAAAATATACATTTACGATGTTTTTTACGTAAAAAAGGTCTCTTGGTAAAAATCGCTACGAGCAATGGTTCTCGAGATGGAATTGAAATTATCAATACCTGTCATCATTGACCTAAATTATACAGGGTCCGGCAATAGTGCGTCGGGCATCTGTAGCTCCTAGAATAAAAAACTTGGGAACTTTGTTTAAGTGCAAACCTAAAGTATGTACTACGATGTATTTCAGGAAAATATTTTAACTTCTATAGGGTGGCTCAAAAAAGTGTAAGTGGATCGGGATGATTTTTTTTAAATGGAACACCCTGTATATTATTGCATTTTTGGCTTCCTATCAGATCACTTTACATAAACCTAAGACATCTGTAAATATATTTCAGAGATATTAATAAATAAATAAAAATTATATATTTTTCAGCCTTTCTTAAAAAAATTATTAATAATACAAGAACTGTCCTGGAATCAAAACTGTATTAGATATTTACTTTAGATGATCTGTACTTACTTTGCTATAAATATGGAAATTTTAAATCATACAGGATGTTCAAAATTCTACGCCAACCTTTCTAAAATATACAATAATTTTTCTTTGTTTTTTTAAATAGGACACCCTGTATATTATTTTTTTAACAGATGGAGAATTAAAAAATAAACACTTTTTGCATTTAGAGTATTTCAAAATTTTTAACGGTTTGGCAGATATTCCCGGTTTTGTATTTCATATGGCATTTTCCACAGTTAATTTTTATCAAAGCCACCCAATGATTTTTCTCTCCTATTTGACCATTCAAAGCGCCTTATGAAATAATATCTAGTATCAGGAAAACTATTAAAAATTTTGATATACTTTAAATACAAAAAATGTTAAGAATTAAAAAATGTTCATTTTTTAATTCTCCATCAAATAAAAAAATAATATACAGGGTGTTCCGTTTAAAAAAACGAAGTAAAACTATTTTATATTTTTGAAAGTTTGACGTAAAATATTGAACATTCTGTAAGATTTACGATTATCATATTTATAGCAATGTAAGAACAGACCGTCTAAAGTAAATATCAAGCAATAAGGGTTGAAAAATATATATTTTTGATTAATTTTTCAATATCTCTGAAACTATTGAAACAGATTTACTCATATGTTAGGATTATGTAAAGTGATCTGAAAGGAAGCCAAAAATGAAATAATATACAGGGTGTTCCATTTAAAAAAAGTCATCCAGTTCCACTCACACTTTTTTGAGCCACCCTATAGAAGTTAAAATATTTTCCGGAAATACATCCTGGTACATTCTTTAGGTTTGCACTTAAACAAAATTCTCAAGTTTTTTATTCTAGGAGTTACAGATGCCCGACGCACTATTGCCGGACCCTGTACATGTTGACTAAATAGTTATTAGACTAAATAAAATAATAATGAAATGTTTTTGTAGCAAAAGTTCAACAGAAACTGTTTTATTAACATTTTTTCGAAGAAAAAATTATGATTAATTTAAAAAATAAAAAACTCTCAAGTTTGTCATTTCAGTCAAATAACTATCTAATAAATATATGTTTATTTTTTGTCAATAATGACATGTATTGACTGTTTCCATTCTAAATATCTTGAGAACGGTAGCTCGTAGCGATTATTACCAAGAGGCTTTTTTACGTAAAAAATCACAGAAATGTATGTTTTTTTCACTCAGTAGTTTTATACAAGTACAGGCAAAAAGTTATTACTCTTAAAACCAGTTAAAATACATGTAGTTGGCGCCCCCTATAAGTTCATGTCATAATGAGATCGAAATCAAATTTCTCATGCCAAAAAACTCCCAGACACTAATTTTAACCCAATAGATATTATTTGAAAAAAAAAACGAAATATAAATGAAATTTCTACACTCTGTATCTCCGAAAAGAGACATTTTAGGACATAAATTTATACGACAGAACATTCTGCCGAAATTTCCCAATACAATTCGGGTTGGTTGCACCCTGTATATTGATTTTTCCTAATTTAAAACGATATTTTTTAGAGTTCTACTGGTTTATTAAATGCCTTGTATGAAAGTAACTGGTATACGCAAAAAAACAAAGCAACTAAAAGTCTTATTTTAATGACGATGATGAGAACATCCCGACCTTTGAGTATTTCAATTGGACCTTTTGGAAAATTGACTATGAACGCAGCAATATCGGTAATTGTTTTCGAAAGAATATATTCTTCCAGTAACATTTGGTTAGGATCTGTTAAACACAGTTAAACATAATTAATTAACATTTAATTAATAATTATACTATATGATCGAAAAGAAAACGGCATCAGCGATGGCTATAAAATGTAGATCGCTGTCATTTTATATGTAAAATTATATGGGGAATGTCATCGATGTTCATTTCTAAGCCAACTGGACGCCGTTTCTTTCGATCATACGGTATAATATAATCTAATTAAAATGCATAATGGTGATGAAAGATGAGAATTAAAATTTTCTGTATCAAATATAAAACTTATAGACAGGATGATCAAATGATTGATTTAATAGAAATTGGAGATCAAGTAAACTAGCTTTTTACAGCGTCTATAATTAGGACTAATTGGTCAAAAGTAACTAACTGAATATACTTCTGCATATACCAAAGAGTTAAAAGTTTACATAATTTAATCTTTTTTTTGTTTTTTTTTTCAGAGAATGAAATTAGCTTATTCTGTGTTGTCCCTTCTATCAAGTAAGAATTAAATGCTAGCATGAACAGAAGAAATGTAGGATGTTATTTTCGCACTAATAATCGCTTAATATAAATTAAATAAACACCAAGCATTACAAAATAGTATTTGATTTTCCTAATCATATTTTTAATATAATTTAATGGCTTTTGCATATCCTGTTCACAAGTCAGCGCTGCATCATATCACCAGTAGGCGTTGGGGCAAAGAATCTCGAAACTTTACCTAAAAAAAGATACAATAAAATTTATTTAGCCCTCAATATGGGCTGTAAATAAGAAGTAATCTAGTAAGAAGTCTTCAAAACTTCTGACTATTGTGACAGGTGATATTATGTTATTTACATAATTCTATTATGTATATGCGTCTGTTCGTTTTTGATTCCCGTCTTCTCGTCTTTTTCCCCCTTCTGCGCCTGCCCGTTCCGTTCCATCTTTTCCTTAGTTTAAATTATAACTGATTATTTTTTTTTATTATATGTATTATATTTAATATTTTACTTGTAGTTAAAAGTATAATTTCAAATTGTTAGGTATTTTCTTATTATTTAGTTGGGTATTGTTTGTTGTTATATTAAGATTCATTAAATATATCCCAAGTATATATTTTATGATTTAAATTATGTCAGGATACACCTCACAGGCCATTGGAAAATGTGCCTTGTGCATCGGTTCTAAAAATCGCGGTGTATTCCTTTTTGTCGGTATTTATATATATATTACATTTGTATATTAAATATATATATATATATATATATATATATATATATATATATATATATATATATATATATATATATATATATATATATATATATATATATATATTACATTTGTATATTAAAATGTGATTTGATTTGATTTGATTTGATTTGATTTGATTTGATTTGATTTGATTTGATTTGATTTGATTTGATTTGATTTGATTTGATTTGATTTGATTTGATTTGATTTGATTTGATTTGATTTGATTTGATTTGATTTGATTTGATTTGATTTGATTTGATTTGATTTGATTTGATTTGATTTGATTTGATTTGATTTGATTTGATTTGATTTGATTTGATTTGATTTGATTTGATTTGATTTGATTTGATTTGATTTGATTTGATTTGATTTGATTTGATTTGATTTGATTTGATTTGATTTGATTTGATTTGATTTGATTTGATTTGATTTGATTTGATTTGATTTGATTTGATTTGATTTGATTTGATTTGATTTGATTTGATTTGATTTGATTTGATTTGATTTGATTTGATTTGATTTGATTTGATTTGATTTGATATATTCCGGGTGCGTCTCAAAAGTGGCTCACTCCTATAACTTTTTTTATTTTTTTAGATAAAACAACGATATTTGGTATGTTAGTATATGACATGATTGGGATTGATTGACGTAATCAATGGTTTTCGGTCACTTCCGGTTTCACCGGAAATTACTACAACTTTTGATTTTTAAATGGCACCCTCGGTATTTTTTTTACATTATTCGATAGAAAAAAAATGACACTCTGAATCGAATAATATATCATTTGTCAACTTTTGACATTTTAGCATATGGTTTATTTGAAATTGTAACATGCGGTTCATAACGACAATTTGACTCAAAATACCAAGTGTGTGGTATCAAATTATTCGTAAAAAAATGCTTTTTCCAAATATGCTAATGAGCCACCCTCGTTCCATTTGAAGAAATTGAGATATGATTAAAAATACGATTTGGGCATCTTTTAACCGGCCAGGACAAGACACGAAAAACATTAGGCGATCAAATCTTTTATGACATAGTCACTCAAAAACAAATTCTATTTTAAATTTCAATCTGGAGTGTCATGACTGTTAAAAACACACTAATTTTTAATCAAGGAGCCTTGGAAAAATAGATTTAATCGCCTAATGTTTTTCGTGTCTTGTCCTGACCGGTTAAAAAATGTTTTTTATTCATATCTCAATTTTTTTCAAATGGATCAAGGGTGGCTCATTAGCATATTTGGAAAAAGCATTTTTTACTTGGTATTTTGAGTCAAATTGTCGCTATGAACCGCATGTTACAATTTCAAATAAACCATATGCGAAAATGTCAAAAGTTGACATATGATATGTCACTCTATTCAGAGTGTCATTTTCTATCGAATAAAGTAAAAAAATACCGAGGGTGCCATTTAAAAATCAAAAGTTGTAGTCATTTCCGGTGAAACAGGAAGTGACCAAAAACAATTGAATACGTCAATCAATCCTAATTTATGTCATATACTAACATACCAAATCTCGTTTTTTTTATCTGAAAAAATGAAAAAATAATATGGGTGAGCCACTTTTGAGACGCACCCAGTATATATGTATATATATTAATATACTAACGTACCAAATCTCGTTTTTTTGACTTTAGTTTTTTTTATTTGAATAAATAAAAAAGTTATAAGGGTGAGCATCCGGTATATCTCAATCACCCTGTATACATATTTTTAAAATGTACATCTATTGACCCCATATTTTATAAAAAAAAGTGAAGATTGGATTGAAAATTTGAAGAATATCGAACTATTTGTTTTCATTGTCTCTCCCTAATCTTGGATCATCGATAATATACATATATACCGTATGATCGAAAAAAACGTCGTCCAGTTGGCTGGAAAATGATGATCGATGACATTTTCCATATAAATTTACATATAAAATGACAGCGATCTTCATTTCATAGCCATCGTTGACGCCGTTTTTTCTCCATCATCTACATAATATAAAATGCTAATGTTTATCTGTGTCGTCCATAGGTGTCGTCTCTACTGAAGTAACGACTTGCTCTAGAAAGTTGCTTTTTTTACTAAAAGATAGCTAATTGGCTCTTCCAAAAACTGTCGTCGCCGGACTTTTTCTTTTTATTTAATTAAAAAAAAATAAAAAGTATTTTTTTTTCTGATGTTGTGGCGGATGCGCGAGGCTTCAACTAGTCTACATAATATAAAATGCTAATGTTTATCTGTATCGTCTCTACTGAAGTAACGACTTGCTCTAGAAAGTTGCTTTTTTTACTAAAAGGTAGCCTAATTGGCTCTTCTAAAAACTGTCGTCGCCGGATTTTTTGTTTTTCATTTAATTAAAAAAAATAAAAAGTATTTTTTTCCCGATGTGGGGTGGCGGATGCGCCAGGCTTCAACTAGTATCTTATAATATCGTATAATAAATTATACAGGGTGTCCCAGAAATAAGTGCAAGTATTTTAACTGGTAGTCCTCAGAAACATGCCTATGAGGTATTTTTTGCGAAAAGAAAAATTTGAAAATTTGGAATTTGTTAAAAAAAATTTTAGAAATTTTTTTAGTTTTAAGTTAAAAAACATAATTTCTTGATAATATGGCAACATAGGTAGTAGCTTAAATTTACATGAAAGGAAATCCAGAAAAGATCCAGTGGTTCTCAAAATTTTAGCAAAAAATATTTTTTTTTGGAAATTTTCAAAGTAAAATAACTCGTTTATTTTGGACTTCTTTGAAAAACGGTAAAGAGAAAAAATGTTTCTTTTGACCAGATCTACCATCCCTTAAAATACTTGCACTTATTTCTGGGACACCCTGTATAATGATTCCAAGCTTCTGTATCTTTAGTTGCATAACTTTGGCATATGAAATTATTTTGACCTAGGGTTTTTCAATTTTACGGTATATATTATGTACAATTATGTATATATTTATATTATTATATTGGCAACAATGGAATGCCTAATTAGAAAATACCCGTCCCAAAAAAGATAAATAAAGGTGAAGGTTGAAGATTTTCTAATGTATGTAAACTATTGGTAAACCACTCATTTTATTTTATTTTTTCATTGTAATAACTTTCATTACTCTTTGTAGTTAATACAATTTTATAGAAATATAAAATGACTGACAATGAGGCTGTGCATAGATCTCAACCGCCAAGGAAAAATTTTCGCCAAAATAGGCCTCCTCCCATGAATCCCGGTGTTAGAAAGGCCGTAAATAATTTTGGAGTCACGGATTTGCGGCAGCTCCTAAATAAAAAGCATCAAGAACAAGATGATAATGGTTCTAAGGTACTTACCTATTTATTTATGTGACTTCTTATTAAAAATTGGCCACTGCAGTTTTCACAAACACAGTTTTACTTTGGTGTATTCTAATTGATTTATCTATTTTTCTATTGTAGCACCAAAGGTTTTACCCTAAATTGTTTTAGTACCAATTATTGACAAAGTTTCTTATATTCTAACTTATTTCTTTGTTTTTTGATAAGGAATCAGAAAATAAACCAAGAGGGGCAAATCCTCCTCCCGATCCAGAATATAACTTCTTAAAGGATGCATCTAGAGATGAAGTCAAACATTATCAGCCGAAAAGAAATGAAACATCTGGGAAACATCATAACAGGGAGGGTGATGGTGTAACAAGAAGAACCAAAGAGAAAAATGAAAATGATCCACAGTATAAAAATCAATCACCAAGAAAAAAAGAAAATGCTGATGGACTAAAAAAGGAGCTACGTTTCTCTGATACCCCAAATATTGTATTGGAGGGACAAAAGAAAGAGCCACGTTTCTCTGATACCCCAAATATCGTATTAACATCTCAAAATGCTCAAAATAGTAGGAATAACTATAAGTTGAGAGATAATACTAAAAGAAAGGATGAAAAGATAGAAAATCCTGTTAATATTAAAGTGGAACTGAGTACTACAACAGGACAGAGAAGTTGTACTTTGGACGAGAATACTAAAATCCCAGGTAATTATTTACATCAGTTTTTCAGTTGTTATATATATATATATATATATATATACATATTTTTTCTGGATAATTTATTATACAGAACATTCATAGTCAGACATATCACAGCCACCTAAATTTAATCAAGTAATAAGTATTTAGTGACACTAAACCATAAAAATGAAAATATCTAGGAAAATCTTTGTCTGAGAGGTTGGCCTTAATAATTTAAAGAGACATTATATATCGGAATATACTGGATGTTTTATTTGAAATAGAAGAGTAACTTGCTTGCAAAAGTGACCAATGTTATGTTATATTAATTTTGTCTCACCCTGTATAACTTTTGGCGTCAGGTTTTAATTTGATTTAAAGTACACTGTTGAACTCCCAAATAAAATTCTAAGTTCCCATTCCAAATTAGGTAGCTTTTATTGGAAGTTAAAATGTATTTGTCATTTTTAGAAAATGGAAAATGTCAAAAACCTTACATTTTAGTAATTTGCTTTTCTAATGAAACTTACCTTTATTTTCTCATAGAATCCGAAAATCAATTAATATAAATTTTGGGTGTTTATGTTTTGCTAAATATTAGCTTAATTATTATTAATTTAGCTTTCACAAAAATCAAGAAAAAGTATGGGAAGAGTGAAAACTACCCCTACCTCAACATAAATTGTATAAATATTTTTCAACTCAACCGACGACCGATTTTTTTTTCATAAAATGGTCCTCCTGGTATTTACTACATTTTTTGTCTCTTTTAAAAAAACGCCACCGCGCATACTTTTTAAGGAAAATAAATATTTTTCCAAACCTAACTTCCAAAAAATGTTTTTTTGTCACGTTTTTTGTCAAATTTTTATCACTTGTATGGAGGCGAATAAAACCTGTTATCATTGATTGAAAGAATTGGGAAGATACCAACCTAATGGGCGAATTTGTGATAAGGTTGATTTGATCTCCCCTTGCGTCTCAATTGCTGTATGGTGGACTCTGGTGGAGACACCAATCGTTCTGCGGTCAACGTATAAAACACTTATTTTCTCTAATTCGGCCAGCGAAGGCATATCGAAAACGGAGTCGATCTGAAAGCGACAGTGTTGCCATGTTAAAATGTGTAAAATCTGTAATACGTTTGACGAAAATATCTTTGGATGAAAAATCCGCTTTTATGTAGGTATTGAAATAATGATGAAATTGTCTAACATAAACAGAGAATAAAAAATAAAGTAAAAATTCTTTTATACAAAATTCTTATAGGTACTGAATATGTTGTATGATTGAAAAAGTCGTGTAGTTAGATTGGAAATGACGATTACTGACATTTACACATCTACTGTCATTATTGACATAACAGCGATCTTTATTTCCAGACCAACTCTGACGCTGTTCTTCGTTTAATTATATAATATTATATTAAATTGTTTAATAAAAACCGTATTATTAACGTAGTAGACCCAAAATCCGTATATCTACGGATTAATCAGTAGTTCTGGCAACACTGTCTCCGGCAACCACTCACTCTGTCCACTGAAAGCAGAACTTACGGTACAGTCATGATACAATAAACGAAATATAAGATCCTTGGCGGTCGCAAATCGGTTCTCCACGCGCATGACGTCAACCGGGTAGTATTTTTTTGTTAAGCTCCGCCAGCTACATACACAATACCTTATCTCATAAGATCCTTGGCGGTCGCAAATCGGCTGTCGACGGGCATGACGTCACCCGGGTAGTAATTTTCCGCCCACTACATGCGTAATATCTTATCTTTGTTCATTGTATCATGCGGTACAGTATTTTTTATCCGCTTCGCTGTAAACGGCTATCAGCGCGAAGCAGCACAGAGCTAAACTAAATCTCGGACAGGCTGACGGTAACGCCATCTACATCTCGAACTCTTATTTCTATAATCGAGGCTATAGTTGACGAAAATATGGAATTTTATGTTAGCACCACAAATTCTATTTTGACAATAAGCTTCATAAAAAGCTTAAAAATTAATAAATTTTAGATTGTTTAAAGTTCGGGTTTATTTTTGATTGATGTTCTCTAACGAACAAACGAAGCACTTTTGTATAAAGGTAAATTATGTTCAATTAACTTATTTCAATTCAAAATACTACTAACATGTCAATACGATGTTTAATTATTATTTGATTATTAGATAGATTTTTAATATTATTTTGGAAATTTTCAATTGATTTGTCAAATATTGAAATTTGATTTTTAATAATAGTTTTTATTTTTAACTGATTGTCAGAAAGATTTTCAATGGCTTTATTATATTTTCCAGCATCATACTGATCTAAATTACCAGTTATTGATTTGATTATCGATCCCAGTCCATCAATTAAACCACGTTTATATCTATTATTATTAGCACTATATAAAGGATTAATTTGTTTAATTTGAATATTTATTTTAGTTTGCAATAAATTTGCTAAATTATAAGAGTTATAAAAATTATATTTGTATGTTTTTGAAAAATTAGTATTATTTTCAAAAGCAATTTTTATTCTAAAATATTGATTTTGAATTTCATTAAATTGTTGAATTAAATTAGTTATATCAAATACTTGTATAAATTTCCCAGTGTCGATTTTATTTTGGGCGTTGCCTAATTTTAAGGGTAGTATTCCTGGGTTATCATTCATTCGGTGGTATTTTGGTTCTCCATAGGTGGTGGCGAATCTGAAACAACAGGTGATTTCCTCAATTCTTGAATATGTAGTATTTCTTTTTTATTCGGATCTTTTTTCCGGGTTATTTCCACTCGATTCCTTTCTAACATTTTAGTTATAGTATATGGTCCCAAGAATTTATTTTTTGATTTATTCCTTTTTAAAGGGTTTAATTTATATACCGTCTGTCCTAATTTAAATTCATCATTTGTGTTTCCTTTTACATTGTGTTTAGAAACAACTTTCTCTTTTTGTTTATTTAGATCTTCCTTTACTTTTTCATAAACTTTTTCTAGTTTTTGTTTATTTTGGCTATAAAGAAAATTTTCTTCTTCAATAACCAAACTCATAGCTTTTTCTAAAGTTTTTGGATCTCTTAACCGAATATTATTTTGTAATTGACCACTTAAGCCTATAATAAAAGTTTTCAATGCGAGTTCTTCATAATTTGCTATTTTTATAGTGTGTTCAGCTGGGTTTAGACTTAACATATTTAATTTTGAAAATACTAACATACATCTCGAACTCTTATTTCTATAATCAAGGCTATAGTTGACGAAAATATGGAATTTTATGTTAGCACCACAAATTCTATTTTGACAATAAGCTTCAAAAAAAGCTTAAAAATTAATAAATTTTAAATTGTTTAAAGTTCGGATTTATTTTTGATTGATGTTCTCTAACGAACAAACGAAGCACTTTTGTATAAAGGTAAATTATGTTCAATTAACTTATTTCAATGCAAAAAAGTACTATTGAAAAAACCAAAAGTTTTAGAAATTTCTCGTGAAACAGGAACTGAATGAAACTAGTTAAATACATCAATAAATTTTCATTTATGTCATATACTAACATATCAAATCTAGTTTTTTTATCTGTCAAGCGGCTGCTATACGGTAGCGACTTGCCTGCGTGGTATAGTTTGCGCAAACTAGGTTAGGTTAGGTGTGGGTCCGTTCGTGGAAAAGTCAAGTGGCGAATTATTGTTTTTTATTGCTTATTGTTAAAGAAAAAACAGCAAAATAAACGGTATAGATCGAAGTGGAGTAAAACTGGCTTTTAAATAGAAAACCATTTTCTTGTACGCATCATTTTTTCTGTTTCTATCGGAATAATCTTTCGATTTTATCTTCCATAGGCATGGCAACGATCAATATATTTTAATGAAACTCGTCATAAACTCCTTATTGGAATAAGTACGCATATCAGACATTTTCTAAGAGTTGATAACTAATAACACAAAACCCATAAAACTGTACCTTGAACTCGCTGATACCGTTTACACGTATGATATCACCACACAAACTGGTTTGTGCAAACTAAAATCTTTAAAGGGCCGGCTACACGTACAAGCTTTACCACGAGCTTACCTGCACAAACCTGTTTGTATCACGAACTCGCAGGGTGTAGACGGTAAAACCGTAGCACGCACAAACCAACAAGCGCGGCCTGCGTAAACGTTGCGCGGCTAAAGATTTTAGTTTGCGCAAACCAGTTTGTGCGGTGATATCATACATGTAGACGGTATCAGCGAGTTCAAGCTACAGTTTTGTGAATTTTGTGGGTTTTGTGTTATTATTTATCAACTCTTAGAAAATGTCTGATATGCGTACTTATTCCCATAAGGAGTTTATGATGATTTTCATTGAAATATATTGATCGTTGCCAAGATTATTCTGATAGAAACAGAAAAAATTATGCATACAAGAAAATGGTTTTCTATTTAAAAGCCAGTTTTTACTCCACTTCGATCTATACCGTTTATTTTTCTTTTTTTTTTTCTTTAACAATAAGTAATAAAAAAACAATAATTCTAATATTAAACAGGTTTTTTATTTAAAAGCCAGTTTTTACTCCACTTCGATCTACCGCGTGCGTCTCAAAAGTGGCACACCCCTATAACTTTTTTATTTTTTCAGATAAAACAACGATATTTGGTATGTTAGAATATGACAAAAATTGGGATTGATTGACATATCCAATTGTTTTCTGTCACTTCCGGTTTCACCGAAATCACTACGACTTGATTTTTAAATGGCACCCTCGGTATTTTTTTACTTTATTCGATAGAAAATGATACTCTGAATAGAATTGACATATCATATGTGAACTTTTGACATTTTTGCATATGGTTTATTTGAAATTGTAACATACGGTTCATAAGGAGAATTTGACTCGAAATACCAAATGTGTGGTATCAAATTATTCGTAAAAAAATGCTTTTTCAAAATATGCTAATGAGCCGCCCTCGTTCCATTTGAAAAAATTGAGATATAATTAAAAATACGATTTGGGCATCTTTTAACCGGCCAGGACAAGACACTAAAAACATTAGACGATCAAATCTATTTTTCCAAGGCTCCTTGATTAAAAATTAGTGTTTTTAACATAATCGTGGCACTCTAGATTGAAATTTAAAATACAATTTGTTTTTGAGCGAATATATCTCTGCACCGCCACGAAATTCGATGCTGCTCGAAGCAATTTCAAAAAACAACTAGTATGGATGGAAAACCTATTATTTGGACAACCATCGATACAGGCGGCGAGATACAACGGACAACGGAGTGGGGTATGGGCTACGGCGCGCCGCGTCGTGTTGGGCTGACAACAGCTTAAAAATAATAGGATATAAAAGAAGCAGCTTTTTTGAAACAGTTGCGGGCATAACGCCTGGCGGTCGAGATAACAGGAGTGGGAAAGGAGCGCTGCTGCATCGGTCGATTGTCGATGGAGGCTCGCAACGGGTTGGAGAATAACGCATCAGTTGTTTTAGCTATGTTGTTTTCTTACCTGTTACGAGCATAACAGAACGGCGTTCGAGATAATCGGAGTGGGAAAGTAACGCTGCTGCATCGGTCGATTGTCGATGGAGGTTTGAAACAGGTTGGAGAATAACGCATCAGTTGTTTTAGATACATATTGTTTTTCAACCTGTTACGAGCATAACGGGCGGAGGTCGAGATATTATGGCGCTGTATGTTTCAGTACTTTGTTATTAAGTTTCAATATTTAAGTATTTATTTATTCTGAAAAATTTTCAGAATAATATTTTAAGATTTTTTAAAAATGTATGCAGGGTGTTTTGAAAAATCTGGTCATTGATTAATCAGGATCCTGCTTAAAGCCCTTGACGTAAAAAGCTGATTTTTAGAAAACGGATTGACTTTAGGGTGTAGAGGTTCGATAAGAAGGGATTTTTCGAAACTCAAATTCTAAGGGGGTGAAACCACCCTCAAATATTAGAATATTTTTTATTTAAAATTGGTGAGTTTTTCGAAAAAACTCTTAAACACGTATATTTTATTTTGTTGTTTTACATATTTTGAGATTTTTACAAAATATATACAGGGTGTTTCATAAAATATGACCACTGAGTAATCATGATTCTGCTTAAACTGCTTGACGTTTAAAGCTGATTTTTGGCAAACGGATTGACTGTGGGGTGTAGAGGTGCGATAAGGGGGGGTTTCTCGAATCTCAAATTCCAAGAGGGTGAAAACGCCCCTCAAATATTACAATATTTATTATTTAAAAAACGGTTAGTCTTTCGGGAAAACGATTGGACACGCATAATTTATTTTCTTTTTTTACATATATTGAAATTTTTTAAAAAATAATACAGGGTGTTGCAAAAAGTTGAGTAATTGATTAACCACGATTCTGCTTAAACTGCTCGACGTTTAAAGCATATTTTTGGCAAATGTGAGAAAATTTTATCCAGTTTGTATGTTAATGGAAATTCTTGCTTTGCTTTATCATCACCATTACAAATTAATAATTCGACGCGAACGAAGTCGCGGGTACAACTTAACAAGTATAGCTAGAGACGTGAGAAATATAAAATAAGAGACGCCCCCCGATGCGTAGTGGACATCCCACAAATTTGCTTCAATCAGATTTTTCGTAGCGTAACTGCATCTCTCTTCCGCCGAATGCGTTCTCTCTCTTTCGTGTGCGCGACCGGTGCTATCCCCAAGTCTCTTCCTATATTTGTCAAACTGTACATGCTAGTTTAAGTGTAAAATTAATTCGAACTCTAGTGTGTAGTTGGTTTACTTATGAAGAATATACTACACATTTTCTTATATTGCTATTTTTTGACCGCAAATGGTAAAATCATAACTAAGAGCTTCTCGCCCGTCGAGTGAGATGCACCCTGTACACTGCTACGCAATTCAGAATCGGATCGAGGGGTAGGGCGTAGGTACATCGGAATTTATAAATATAGACGAGTGGCGGCATTTTGGCTTTTTTATATTGCAGTTTGTAAACAGCGCTTATTTGTAAACAACCCCCGTTTTTAGAGAGGTATTTTAGATAACAATCGATATTAAGAAATGTTATAACACCCTGGAAATACTACCACCAAGCACGTCATTGTTGCAACTTGCAACTGCGTTAATACGCCTGGCGGTGACCGCCTCTTTCAGATATTTAGCAATAAAATAAAGAAACCTGTTATTTTTAAGCTGTTATTTTAAGCTGTTTTTTATAAATAACTATAACAGTTTCAACTGTTATCTAAAAATAACAGTTTTGCCCATCACTATCGTGTGGACACCGCACAGTGTTCCTTGTATTTTGCACAAACTATACCGTGCAGGCAAGTCGCTACCGTATAGCCGCTGCTTTAGCAGCGCGACGTTTACGCAGGCCGCGCTTGTTGGTTTGTGCGTGCTACCGTTTTACCGTCTACACACAGCGAGTTCCTGCTACAAACAGGTTTGTGCAGGCTCGTGGTAAAGCTTGTACGTGTAGCCGGCCCTTAAAATTAAAGAAGTTATATGGGTGAGCCGCTTTCAAAAAACGGCCAGTATCTCCAAAAAAGTCCTACTTATGGGTATTTCGCCAAATCTACAAAATAAAATAGTTGTTTTTTGTAAACACTACTGCGTTAATCCAACGGAGACTAATTGTCAGCAGTGGTTTACTAATAAACAAATTTGCCTAACAGACAAAAAAATGCTTAACGTTTCGGAAAGTATATTTTTCCGTCGTCGGAAGCAAAAAAAATACAAAAAACAAAGAAAAAAACTATTTAAAATATCTAAATGAAATTTGTGCGAATAAATTAATTTCTTACAGTGGCGAAATAACCCATAAGTGGGGCTTTTTTGGAGAAGGCTCGCCCCTATTAACTTTTTTATTTTTTCAGTTAAAAAGAACGAAATTTGGTATGTTACTATATGACACAAATCAGGATTGATTGACGTATCCAATTGTTTTCGGTCATTTCCTGTTTCACCGGAAATTACTTCAACTTTTGATTTTTAAACGGCCCTCTCGGTATTTTTTTACTTTATTCAATAGAAAATAAAGCTCTGAATAGAATGACATATCATATGTCAACTTTTGACATTTTCACATATGGTTTATATGAAATTATAACTTGCGGTTCGTAACGAAAATTTGACTCGAAATACCAAGTGTGTGGTATCAAATTATTCGTAAAAAAATGGTTTTTCCAAATATGCTAATAAGCCACTTTTATTCCATTTGAAAAAATTGAGATATGATTAAAAATATGATTTGGGCATTTTTTAACCAGCCAGGACAAGACACTAAAAACATTAGATGATCAAATCTATTTTTCCAAGGCTCCTTGATTAAGAATTAGTGTTTTTAACACAGCCATGGCACTCTAGATTGAAATTTAAAATACAGTTTGTTTTTGAGCGAATATGTCAAAAGTTGACATATGATACGTCATTCTATATAGACTGTCATTTTCTATCTAATTAAGTAAAAAAAAATACCGAGGGTGCCATTTAAAAATCAAAAGTTGTAGTCAGTTCCGGTGAAACAGGAAGTGACCAAAAACAATTGAATACTTCAATCAATCCTAATTTAGGTTATATAGTCCACATTTATGTTATACATACCAAATCTCGATTTTTTATATGGAAAAATAAAAAAGCTATAGGGGGTGAGCCACTTTTGAGACGCACCTGGTAGACATTTTTATAACAGCCAGTATATTAAAATACTCCTTTGATTCAAAAGAGAATAATTTTTTTTAGATATTAAACATGTACCAGACCAAATACAACAGAGACCATTTCGAGGAGGATTTAGAGGGAGAGGTAGGGGCAGGGGTAGAGGCAGAGGTCGAGGTTACTATCACGGCAAAGGCACAAATTCAGGTGAATCTAATAGAGATATGGTTAATAAAAATAGAGAATCAGAAACATCATCAGAAGATCCTCATTCAAAGCGAAATGAAGTATTCCAGACTGAAAATGAAGGGAAAAAATCAGGTCCAGAACCCAATATTGATAGTGTCAATATTGAAACTTCTGAACACAACCCTGATTTGGACGATTACGAGGACGAAGATTATAGCGTCAATTATTCCAGCGAATATGACAACAGCTTCGAACGAAAAAATGAAGCTGATGAAGATAACAATGATCTCAACAATTCTGTAGCAATTGATGCGAATTTAAAAGATTCAATTACTATAACATCATCTCAGTTTCAAGATGGCGACATAAAACGATCTGTTAAAGTTGAAACTGATGAAAAAAATTGACTTTTGTGATAATAAAAAAAATAGAAGTATATACATCTCTAAGGAAAATTATTATTTTTCTATGCATTTTAAAGAGCCTAAATTCACTTTGGGCTGTTATAAAAAGATACTAGCACAATGATTTTTAAAGCTAATGAGAAAAAAATATAAATGTTAAATTATTTTCATAAATTGTACATGTGTAATTAGCTGCTGCCTATTTAACTGTTTTTAAGAACTTCTGAACTAACCCGGCTAGTTCATACTTAAAATCTTTTCATCTTATTATTTCAATTGTTTGCTTTATCCAATGTGATCAAAATCACAATAATAAAGGCTGTATTCCGTTGCAAAACCAGGCGAATCAGGCCGGTAAACTACGGTAAAGAGCGGTTCCTGAAAAACATCGGTTTGATAAAATACTGGAAACGTCAAATGTTGACGTTTTCTAAATTTCAATAAGTACCTCTATTTTAAAATTTATCTTTTATGCATTTTTAATGTACCTATTCTCTGCTTTTACGTTTGCTTCTTCTTTTAAATGGAGTTTAATATTGAAAAGTTCTTTATTAATAAACTGTTAAACTCGTTAGACAGCTCAAGTGAACATTTGCAAGTCCAATATTAAAACAGATCAATAATAAATAAACAAATCTAATCAATATTTATATTTTTATAGCTCACAAAACATTCACGATTTCTTGTTGTCTTGTTTTTCATGTTTTCTTTAAACGTTCCTGACTTTAAGATAGAATGGCTGCATGATAAGTTTTAAAATGGTCCTAAAAAGGCATTCTATTTAGTCAAAGAAATTTATTTACCTTTACTGCCTACCGCCATTGCTTTTGGATGTAAATACAAAATATTACAAATTTTAGAAATTAAATGAGAATTTCACTCGAACTTATATTTGCTTGATTTCTGTCGCATAAATGACATTGATTGACAAACAAAACCAGAAAAACCAGCCTTCTCGCGCTGGTTAGTTTGGTGACAGTTATAACCGAATCTTTCAGGAACCGTGTTCCGTAATAAGAAAACTTTCAGGAAACCGATAGAAACGGAACATAAAACCATAACCAAGGTAAGCAACGGAAACGGAATACACCCAAAGTCTTACTTCAATAAACTTCAAAAATTGACATTTTTTTCTCATGTTTCTTCTGATTTTTAATTTTTTGTCAAATACCTAAGTCTTCCAAGTTAACTATCTGTCTAAATATGAATTAGTCAACTAAGGGTTCTTGGTTGCCTAACCAGTTAAAAGGAATGCAGCTGTTTAAATTTAGAGATGGATTTATTTTCGTAGCTAAAACTAAGACTTTTTGACAAATAAATTAGGTAAATGCTCCTGGATATATAGGGTGTGCACGAAAAAGTTTGCAAAAATAAGAAAAGTTTTTATTATGTATTTATTGAAAAAAGTTTATACATCCGTATTAAATATTTATGTACAAATAGAGTAAGTTCTGCATTACCAATCAATAATATCTTTCTTCCTGTTTTTGTTATTACTAAATTGGTGGATATTACCTATTCTAAATTCCGTCCTAAGGATTTCACAGCGCATGCGCAGATGAAACAACTGCCGTATATTTTCTTCTGCGCAGCATATCACGTTACTAGTACTAGGACGGTTCAGAATAAGATAAACCCAAAGTAAGCTAATAGTAATTTTGAATAATATGTCAAAATTAATTGTGACAATTCTTGTGATGGATATTTACAAAAACGGTTTTTGGTCGTGTAAAAAGTAGGATTAAATGACAAACGTCGAAAAGTGTCAATGAGAAAACTTGATTTTTCATTTACATTCATTTTTATTTTTTATTAATATACAGGGGCCTTCAGAAAACATATTTTATAGACGTACTTTAGACAAAAATTATTCCGAATACAATGTTTTAACAATGTTTGAAAAAAAAATAAAAATATTTTTTTCCCAATAATTTATTGCAAACTTTTTTGCGTACACTTTTTATATAAAAATATATCTCTGTGATATGAGATTAACTTTTAGCATCATCACAAAAACCTTGGATACAGTATATTTTACTAGATAGTTGATTTTAAATAATAGTAACGTTATTTTAAATTGTTATAATTGCTTTAAACGCACATATTTATGCAGGGTTTTAGCTTTTTTTTGGTGTAATAGCATTTTGTCTTATAGTAATCGCAAAATATAATTTCATACGCGTCGTCAAGATCGAAATTGTTTAGGCTTTGAAGCTATTTTGCATTATTGAATATGTCATTGTTTATTTTTTAGTTTCTTTTGTTAAAGTTAACTCAACACAATACAGAAATAAGCTTAATCACAGACTAACTTGAGTCTGTGGCTTAATATATTAACTCATTTTTTGTTAAATGCCTTAATAATATTCGTAAGTAAATTAGAAAGGACCATTAACAATTAACAATGATAATGATTAAGAAATCATTTTGTGACAATTATCATTGAATCATTCTATTTCCATCTTTGTATACATTTCTTAATGCAGTTCATTTATTATTTACCAATTTTATTAACTATTTAAAAAAATATATTTGTTACTGGTTTAATAAGTTATACAGGGTGAGTCTTAAATAAGTGCAAATATTTTCAGGGGTGGTATATTTCGACCCCAGATACACGTCTATGAGGTTTCTTTCGTAAAAAAATATGTTGAAAATCGTGCATTTTCTTTTAAACTTCCCTGTATGTTTTTAAAAAACTTTGTTTTCAAAACTGCTTGCTCACCGCAAATTTTCCCACGGTATAATTTCTTAATCTCTGATAATACCATATAGTTACAGTTCTACTCTATGGTTACGGCACCAAAAGGGACGCAAATACACAAAAAATCCGGTGGCTCTCAAAATTTAAAAAATGGTAAAGAGAAAATAACTTTCTTTTATCGAGATATACCAGTCTTGAAAATATTTGCACTTATTTAAGACTCGCCTTGTATAATAATAGAATCTACTATTGTTAATTCAGTAGAATCGTAAATAAAAACATAATAATACCTTCATTAAAAATACTACAACTATGTTATTTTTTTAAGCAGGGTATATTTAAAAGTAAAAAAAAACGAAGATAAGTAATAGGGTACACATTTTTATTAATACAAAAAATATACAGGGTGGTGAGTAACCTAGATGTAGTTTACAGTGGTGCCGAAACGATTACGAGGTTGTTACAGTTTATAGCTAAATACAGCATGTGTCAAAAATATAGCCATTATACGGGGTGGTCCATATATAACCAAATTGGACATTTTATTAGTTCCAATCGATTAATTTTTGCTTGATATACGTTTTATGTTATGCAAAAATTATTGTAATTTTTGCTTGATATACGTTTTATGTTATGCAAAAATTATTGTGTTAAGCAAGCCAGTGTCTGTTTTTACCTCTAAATCTACTAAAACAAATAAATTAATAATAACTACTAAAACAAATAATTTGGTCACTGTTTAAGTGCAATCGCCCACTTTGTTTTGGTTACACCATCCTGTATATAATTAAGGATTCTATATAGCATTAATTATATTTATTAAAGTATCCTGGGAGTTATTTCGATTTACTCACTACTTGCCTTCAAAATCTATATTTTTAAGGGTTTTAAGATTTCATTGAAAACTAAAAGTTTATTAATTATTTTTTTTGATTTTTTTTAACTTTACAAAATTATTTTACCTTTTTAGCTCAATTTATTTGTTAGCTTATGTGACAAATATAAATCAAATTTTATTACCTACCATTAATTTTATTGATGCAATTTTATGGCTTCGGTATGTTTCTTAATAAGTTTTATTTTTAAGAAGCTATTGCTTTATAAAATGAAAAATATTTATATAGGCACTAATTATACACATATTTATATTTTTATTTATTTATTTATACTTTATATACAAATTTTATTTTATGTGCATGTTATCTTTATTGTTTTTAATTTTATTCGACTTATTATTTGATAATATAATATCAAAACCAATCATCAAATTATATCAGGAATTGAACTGAATGAAAGAATGTGTTAAAATAAATTTATTGTTTTTTTTTGTCAAATGAGATTTGTTAACAGGGTTTGATAATATCGTATGGTCGAAAAAAGCGGTATCAAGTTGGCTTGGAAATGACGATCAATTAGGTTCAGCGTACAATCTTAAATATAAAATGACGACAATCATCGTTTCCTAACCAACTCCGACCCTGTTTTTTTTTCGATCGTATGGTATATTTATGTATATCAAAATGTTGTTTGTTCTTATCTGTTGTGAAAAATGTTTGTAACATTTATTTTCAATGTTCTGATAATATTTATTTAACAGAATATACTGTATGGCGCATCTCATACGCCTCGGTTGATTATATGAAAACGGAAAGATGTAGAAACAAAATATTTTATGGGTATATGTCGGAAGGCAATGTGCATAATTCAAAATTATTTTGAAATGTACAGGATATATCAGAACTAAGATCCACACCAAAGTTATATATTTTGTTATGGAACACCCGGTATTTTATTTCATTTTTGGATCCTTGGACACAAAATAAGGCATTATTATAAGGGTTAAATATATTTACAAGCTTTGGTTTTTGAGATATTTAAATATACATGCTATAATAAAAAAGATTGTCAACGCCCTGTACATTACTTTTCAGAATTAATTCTTGTGCTGACTTTTAAGCCAGAGAAATAGACTTTACTGAAATTTGATTGCTTCGTTTAATGTATACAGGGCTATCAAAAATTGCTGGTTTATTTTAAATATTTATTTTACATAAAAACTTTGTTATTTCAAATGCGACACTATAAGCAGATTTAAATACTCTTTCAACTATATTAGGGTTTCCTCTACCTATCTGGCTCTGATTTTCAATAAAGAGCAATTTTTCAATAAAATGGCAACCAAGAGGGCTGGTGTCGTCATCAAAGGAACGCTTATCTCGCTAACTGTCACTAGAAAATTGTCATGGCGACACTAGCCTTCCTTCATGCTATTTTATTCAAAAATCGATTTTTATTCAATTACTGAGCTAGATAGGTATAGGAAACCCTAATATAGTT